ACTAATGGAGCTGTAAAAAGTAGGGAGAACCCTACCCCTAGGTTCCTTTGTGGTACTGTGTGGGGTACAGTGACATAGTAAAATATCTGACAATATCTTGATAGACTCATTAATGTTTTAGCTTTGTATAGACACCAAAAGTTTTGGGAAATTTGGCTTTTAAGAAGGTAAAAAATTCTGAGAACTAGGTTGGGACAACACCCATAAAAGCTGACAATTTGTGTCCTAATGGTTTTGATATTCCATCCGTATTTCACGTCCGAGGAACGGGTAGGGTCAGGTTCATCAGACTAACTCACTGGGGGTAGCTTGTTGGTACCCCAGGCTAAGCACTAGCTGTAGATTAATACCACCCCATTGGCAGACTCTGTAAATATTTATGATTAAATACAAGATTGTTGTTGATTTTGTCGTTCAAAGTGGTACAGCATCAAAACAGATGTAACCGATTGGTTACTTGTTTGATTTTGGTTACATATGTAAAACTCATGGCTACATATGTAATATTCTTGGCTACATATGTAATATTCATGGCTACACATGGTTAAATGTAAAATATTCATGGTTACATTTGTGAAATTCATGGCTGCATAAGTATTATGATTATTACATGAGTCTTACATATGTAACCATGAATATTACATATGTAACCATGAATATTACATATGTAACCATGACTATTACATATGTTACCATGACTATTACATATGTAGCCAGGACTATTACATATGTAACCATGAATATTACGTATGTAACCATGAATATTACATATGTAACCATGAATATTACATATGTAACCATGACTATTACATATGTAACCATGACTATTACATTTGTAACCATGAATATTACATATGTAACCATGAATATTACATATGTAACCATGAATATTACATATGTAATAGCCATGGTTACAAATGTACGATTCATGGTTACATGTGTAATATTCATGATTATCTTTGTAATATTTACGGTTACATATGTAAAACACATGGTTACCTGTGTAATATTCATGGCTACATATGTTAAATTTGTGGTTACATATGTAAGACTCATGGTTACATATGTGGAATTCATGGTTACCCTTGTTATATTCATGGTTACATATGTTTTATTCATGGTTACATATGTAAGACTCATGTAATAATCATAATACTTATGCAGCCATGAATATTACATATGTAACCATGAATATTACATATGTAACCATGAATATTACATATGTAACCATGAATATTACATATGTAATACTCATGGTTACCTGTGTAATAGCCATGGTTACAAATTTACGATTCATGGTTACATATGTAATATTCATGATTATCTTTGTAATATTTATGGTTACATATGTAAAACACATGGTTACCTGTGTAATATTCATGGCTACATATGTTAAATTTGTGGTTACATATGTAAGACTCATGGTTACATATGTGGAATTCATGGTTACCTTTGTTATATTCATGGTTACATATGTTTTATTCATGGTTACAACTTTGGATGTAAAGATTTTTGTAGGTTGGTCATGTTGTTCAGTTGTTATGAATGGTAAATAATGGCCTTAACCATATGAATTGTAGCCTACAGAAATATAATTATATATCTATAATAAATTTATCAAACATTATCTTTACAGTTTTTCTTATGAAACAATTGGTGAGGAATGAGGATGCTGGCAGACTCTGGTTAAAGTGGGGAGAAGAATTTGCTGCCAGACTGGTTTAGGAAGGGAGACAGACAGTTATAAGTAAGGTGAAATATTTGCTGCCAGTCTGTTTAAGGCAGAGATAAATAGATTGCCAGGTTATTTTGCCAC